AAACCCTCCACCCTCAGTATATGGGGCTCGCGCCCTACTCACTGAGCCACAGGTGCCACCCAGAATGTGCCAATTCTTGAATCTGAGTTCTGTGAAGTTCTATACTGATGATGTTAGCTGCCAGTTTGTCTCCACAGATGATTCCAGGACAGGAGAGCAGCCACGCCTCTGCCTACTCGTTGACTATCCTTCCCCAACTCCTTTTTTGAATGTGCAACTTGTATTACATAAAACAGATTTACTGATCACTAATGAAGAGCAACACAATAATGTAATCATTTGCCACACTGTCTCCCGTTCCAGCTCCTCCTTTTTCTTTTTTAATTTTCTTTTTTCCCTTCTTTTTCTCATAACCTTTCATTTATTTATTTATTTTATTATTATTTGTTTGTTTTGTTTTGGCCAGGGCTGGGTTTGAACCCACTACTTCCGGCATATGGGCCCAGTGCCCTACTCCTTTGAGCCACAGGCGCTGCCTATTTATTTATTTTTGAGACAGAGTCTCATTGTGTCACCCTCTGTAGACTGCCATGGCATCACAGCTCACAGCAACCTCAAACTCTTGGGCTTAAGAGATTCTTTTCTGGGGCCGCACCTGTGGCTCAAAGGAGTAAGGTGCTGGCCCCATATGATGGAGGTGGCGGGTTCAAACCCAGCCCTGGCCAAAAACCGCAAAAAAAAAAAAAGATTCTTTTCCCTCAGCCTTTCAATTAGCTGGGACTATAGGCACCCGCCACAATGCCCAGCTATTTTTTGTTGCAGTTGTCATTGTTTTAGCTGGAACGGACTGGGTTCGAACCCGCCAGCCTCAAACGTGGCTGGCGCCGTAACCACTGTACTAAACTTGTGCACTTGTGCTACTGCCAAGCCTTCTTTTTTTTTTTTTTTTTTTTAGTCAGACTCTCACTCTATCACCCTCAGTAGGGTGCTGTGGCATCACAGCTCACAGCAACCTCAAACTCTCAGTCTCAAGCAATCTGCTTGCCTCAGCCTCCCAAGTAGTTGGGAATATAGGTGCCTGCCACAACGCCTGTTTTTAGAGACAGGGTCTCGCTCTGGCTCAGGCTGGTCTTGAATCTGTGAGTTCAGGCAATCTAGCCACCTCAGCCTCCCACAGTGCTGGGATTACAGGGGTGAACCACTGCCCATGGCCCCCATTCTTAGTTCTTAGACCACAGAAAGCAGCAAAGCCCTGGTTTGCCAGACCCTGATCTAGGACCATGTTTCTCTGGCACATCTATGCAAACCTATCCCCAAAGTCTGATGAAGCTAAGAGGCTGAAGAAAGTGGCTTACCCAGAAACAGGTTATAGGGACTTGTCTCAGGCCTCAGTGAGGTGGATCCACACCACCACCCTCCCAGACACAGGCCTTACACACCTAGGGAAGGATAGTGCAGACAGCTGAAGTCTCCCTCAGGGAAAGGCCAGAATGCTGAGTGAATAGGCATAGGAGCAGGACTTGGGTCAAGGTGGATTTTTAAAAAAATTTTTTGCAGTTTTTGGCCAGGGGCCGGTTTGAACCCTCCACCTCAGGTACATGGGGCTGGTGCCCTACTCCTTGAGCCACAGGTGCTGCTCAATGTGGTTTTTTTTTTTTTTTTTTTTGAGATAGTCTTCACTTTATCACCCTAGGTACAGTGCCATGGCATCACAGCTCACAGCAACCTCCAGCTTTTTTTTTTTGAGACAGAGTCTCAAGCTGTCCCCTTGGGCAGAGTGCCGTGGCATTACAGCTCACAGCAACCTCCAACTCCTGGGCTCAAGCGAGTCTCCTGCCTCTGCCTCTCCCAAGTAGGTGGGACCACAGGCGCCCGCCACAACGCCCGGCTGTTTTTTGGTTGCAGCCGTCATTGTTGTTTGGCGGGTCCGGGCTGGGGATTCGAACCCACCACCTTAGGTGTACGTGGCTGGCGCCTTAGCCGGTTGAGCTATAGGCGCCGAGCTGCAACCTCCAGCTTTTAGGCTTAGGCAATTCTCTTGCCTCAGCCTCCCAAGTAGCTGGGACTACAGGTGCCCGCTGCAACGCCTGGCTAATTTTTGTTGCAGTTTGGCTGGAGCTGGGTCTGAACCCACCACCGTCAGTATATGGGGCTGGTGCCCTACTCACTGAGCCACAGGCTCCATCTGTTTTTTGTTGTTGTTGTTGTTTTTTGAGACAAAGCCTCATTATGCTGCCCTCGGTAGAGTGCTGTGCCATCACAGCTCACAGCAACTTCAAACTCTTGGGCTGACGCAATGCTCTTGCCTCAGCCTTCCAAGTAGCTGGGACTACAGGCACCTGCCACAACACCTGGCTATTTTTTGTTGTTGTTGCAGTTGTCATTGTTGTTTGATTGGCCCAGGCTGGGTTCGTACCTACCAGCCTCAGATTATGTGGCTGGTGCCATAACCACTGAGCTATGGGTGCTGAGCCTGGGTCACGGTGGTTTTGACTGAAGGGCAAGACTTATTGTAGAAGATAAGCAGATACTGTAGAAGAAGCAGATACTTTAAAACAGTGGTTCTCAACCTTCCTAATGCCACAACCCTTTAATACAGTTCCTGTGGGTTGCAACCCACAGGTTGAGAACCGCTGCTTTAGAGGCATTCCTGGAACAAGGGTCAATCAGAAGTAAGCAGGGTGGCACCTGAGGTGGAGCCCTGAGTCTCCAGGGACCCTGTGAGGCAGACAGAGTCCAGATGCTGCAGTGGTATTCTGAACCCCTGCCCCTGGCCAGTGCTTTTTGGGTATAGAAAGGAGCAAAGCAGCATTATGCTCAGGGCATGACCTTCCACTGCCTTTGAACTAGAAGTAGCCTCATGAAGGATGGGAGGAGGCCAGGGAGGTAGAGTTAGACTCTCCATGAGAGCATTTTGAGAGGCCAGTCCTGGGTGCTGCGGGTGGCAGGCACCATGTCATGGTCACTAGGACCTTAATACTTGTCCCATTGCTGAGGGCCTACCAAGCCTAAAACACAACACATTATAGGGAAAGTCTGTCACATTCTCTACTAAACCTGAAGGTTGACAGGTTGGTTAAGCATGGCAGCTGCAAAGCCCCTCTGTGGAAGTGCTCTGTGGAAGCCTGCAGGAGAAGGCAGGAAAAACATGTATGTACCCCATTGTGCGGGCAGTGAGGGAAGTAGCAAAGTCACTGCCACTGAGGTAGGCACTGACTTCATGGCTGTGGAGAACAGCCCCCAGAAGTGTGGGGGCAGGGGGCAACAACCAGAATTGTGGCCCTGGGACCAGCAATACAGACAGCACATGCATGGTGGTCATGCAGACCCCCACCAATAGGCTGTGAAGAAACAAACTCAGGTGACCACAACCATCCTGGACTCTGCTGTGCCCCATGCACAAGCCAAAGCCACCAAACCTGCAAACACATGGACCAGCATACCTGCCTCTACCTGATAGATGCCTAAATTGCTCTTGGGTTATACCATACTCAGTGACTGAGGCTGTGGCATTTCAGTGGCCCCGCTGTTTGGCACTCAACCAAACACCACAACTTGTGTAACCTACTCTGGGCTACATATTTGTATGTGGGAGGAAAGGGCCACAAAGTGGTAGGGGGCTTTTGGGCCCAAATATTTCCCTGTAATTATTGGCAGACATCAGAGATAAAATCTCCTAAGGGTTACAACAGGAGACAGACTGGCTGAAGCAAGGCTCACCATGGAATGAGCAGCACACTGGGTGCAGGGCCAAGGTCAGCACTGCCCTTGGGCTCATGCTGTGCATGGGCCCTTGGAGAGCAGCTTCAGTTAGATTCTCTGAGGGAAGCAGACGGATGTGGTCCTGGCAGCTGCAGTGGCAGATTAGGTCAGAATTCAACTTCTACTTACAAAGCTGAGGCCTGGAGTGATCAGAGTGGGAATGTGCTCTCAGCTAGGAACGTTCTTATTATGTGTACCACAAAGGCCCTGCCATGCTCCACTGGGCCATTTCTCAGGTCATGTTGACAGCAAGGAACCTGAGTGATGATGTGCTGACCTCAGCTCCAGGAAGAGGCTCACTTACATGGAGGTCCCCACTGACAAAGCTGTGCAAACACCCACTGGGCCCCCTGCACTGCCCAGCGGGATGGAAGGGGGAGTACGTGCAGCCTGAGTACCACTGTATCCTGCCATCTCCTGCCAGGTGAGACAGGACCATGTTAGCTTGTCGAGAGAGTAAATCTCAGACCCTCACAGTTCTTGGCAGTTATGTTTTAGGGAAATTTGTTATACGGCATTAACACACCTGACTCTCCACCCAGCCAAAGACAGCCATCCAGCCTGAAGGCTTAGGTCCCCTGCCAGCGTGGGTTGGGATACAGCCTTTAGCCAGGCACACTAAGATGTTCTGCTCCAGGTTTAACTCCTATAACCACCTTGTATACAGAACACTCTCAGATAAGCAAACAGGCTCAGACTTTCAGGGAGGGCAGCAGTATCCTGAGTGACACAGCAAGCCCCAGGGAAAACTTCAAAATCCCCATTATGACACCAAGAAGGTGCCTGTGCCTGGCAGCAATGTGTGCACAAGCAGCCAGCCACAATGATGGTGACATTGAGTGCATAGGCCTGGGCCACCTCTCTGACAAGGATGGGGCCAGGGTCAGACCATGTCCCCAGTCAATGAGTTTTGAGAAAAGCAGTTAGGTGAAGTTAGAAGGGAATTCTAGGCACTCCCCTACAGGTTTACTGATGTAATTAATACATTTCATTACTGCAGAGGCCAGAGTGAGAGAGCAACTGACCTTTGAGGGAGCTATTTTGGTGACTTACCCTGCTCAGCCTGACAGAGCCCTCCTCTTCCTCATCCATAGGACCTTGGGCTGTCCCTCTATGAACTCAAAACTCTGCAGGTTGCAACCAGAGTGCAGGGGACTCAGGTTTATTGAACAGGTTATGGTAAAACATTCCAACAAATAAACATGTTTTGTACAAAGTTGGATATTCTTTCTTGAGAGCAATTCTGAACCTTTCCTAACATTCTAAATTTTCATCAGAATAAATGATCCAATGTAAACTAAGTTAAGGCTATAGGTTTATTCACATTTGTATAAGTAAATGGTCTATCCCATGTGGGTTTTCTGATGCTGAGTAAGCCTTGAGCTCCGATTGAAAGCTTTGCCACATTCATCACATTTATAAGGCTTCTCTCCAGTGTGAATTCTCTGATGTATGATCAGATGTGAGCGCCACCTAAATATTTTTTCACAGTCATTACACTGATGCAGTTTCTTTATAGTATGAACTTTCTTCCGGCTAACAAAGGTAGAACCTTCCAGAGTATTTCCATATTCATAATACCACTGGGCTCTAGTGTGTATACGCTGGTGTTCAATAAGATATGAGCTCCGACTGAAGGCCTTTCCACATTCACTACACTCATAGGGCTTCACCCCTGCATGAATTATCTGGTGCTGGAAAAGGGTAGAATTTTGGCTGAAGGCTTTCCCACATTCGTTACATTTATAAGGCCTCTCTCCAGTATGCACCCTTTGGTGTATTGTAAGCTGTGTGCTCATGCTGAAGGCTTTTCCACACTGGAGGCATTCGTAGGGTTTCTCTCCTTTATGAATTCTCTGATGGTAAATAAGGCTGGAGCTCTGGCTGAAGGCTTTGCCACAGTCGTTACACACGTAGGGCTTCTCTCCAGTGTGGATTCGCTGATGCTGAATAAGGTGTGAACCCTGGACAAAACCTTTTCCACACTCATCACATTTAAATGGTTTCTCTCCAGTGTGAGTTCTCTGATGGCGAATAAGCCGAGAGCTACACCCAAAGGCTTTTGTACACTTGTTGCATTTATAAGGCTTCTCTCCAGTATGAGTCAGCTGATGCTGACTAAGCCGAGAGATCCACCTAAAAGCTTTCCCACACTCATTACACTTAAAGGGCTTCTCTACAGCATGAATTCTCGGATGTGCAACAAGACTTGAGCTATCTGAGGCTCTTGGGATTTCAGATTTCTCCCCATTGTGCATCCTCTGATGCTGAGCTAGAGTTGAGCTCTGGCTGAAAGCTTTCCCACACTCTGTACAGGAGTATGGCCTCTCTCCAGTGTGAGTTCTCTGGTGTCTGATCAGCTGTGATTGCTGACTGAAGGCTTTTCCACACTCATGACAGCCATAAGGCCTCTCCCCTGTGTGGATTCTCTGATGGTGGATGAGGCTTGAGCTCTGACCAAAGGCCTTCCCACATTCCTCACATCTGTACGGCTTCTCTCCAGTATGGATTCTTTGATGCTGAATAAGCTTTGAGCTCAGGCGGAAAGCTTTTCCACACTCAATGCATTTAAATGGCTTCTCTCCAGTGTGGATTCTCTGATGTTGATTAAGTTGTGAGCATAGTCTGAAGACTTTCCCACACTCCAGACACTCATATGGCTTTTCCCCATGGCAGTGTCTTGGCTCCAAGTGATCAGATAGTTGTCTCTGGCACCTGTGGGGTCTCTTCTGTGTGCCAACTCCCCAGTGCACAGTTCCATCTGAAGTGGCCTGGAGCCCTTTGCCGCAAACTTCACATGTCTGGGAAGCCCCTTCTGTATTCTCTCCCAGACTTTTTTCAGGCTGATAATTCAGGCCACTGCCCACCAGCCCCTTACATCCCTGGACACTGCCCTTGGTGAGGGTCTTGTGGGCCATGGTCTGCTGATTCAAATGGTTTCTCTGGAAGACAGAGCCCATCACTGTGAGCCCAGAACTGTCTGGATGATTCTCTGACCAGAACTCAGAATCAGAAACATCTCCAAAGCCAGGACTATGAGGAAAATTCTGTGTAGGGATTCTGATCATTATCCCAGGAGATTCTGATTTTAGAATCTCCATGTCCTCATGGGTCTGTTCACTGTCAATCCTAATTGTATCTGAAATAAACAGGAAAGAAAATGCTCTTATGATTTTTGCTCAGAGAAAGGACAAAGACTACTAGGCATGGGGTTTGGGGTCACTTCTCAGGACAGGCCGCCCATAGCACTGAAACACACTGGAGGGAGGATGCCTCTAGCAGTTCTCAAGTTTTGGTCTTATTTACATGTTTTGCTTTGTGAATTCATGTGGCATCACTGAAGCATGCCTGGGCACTGCACAGAGCTGCCCGCCATGTAGCCTAGGGGCTCTTGAGCAAAGAGGCCCCTCCCAGAGAGCTGGCAGGAAGCTAAGTCTGTGAAGCAGCAAAGTGAGATGAGACAGAGTGAGCCTCAGACTGGGAAGGTGGGAAGTCAAGAAGATAGGACCAGGCCAGGCACAGTGGTTCAGCCTGTAATTCTAGCACTCTGGGAGGCCGAGGCAGGTGGATTGCCTGAGATCACTGGTTGAAGACCAGCCTGAGCCAGAGCGAGACCTCATCTCTAAAAATAGCCAGTTGCGGCTCGGCGCCTATA